AGTAGTTTTGTGTTTGTTGAAGCAATCGGAATGGCAGAAGAAAAAAAAAAGCGAAAAAGAGAAGGGGTAGGAAAAAGACAAGAAGAAACTAAATAAAGCTGGCTAAAAACTGACTACTAAATGTTCGTAAAATTTTTTTCTTATTTTCTGAAAATTTTTGAGTGTTTTTCCTGGTTCATTCATTTATTATTTTTATTTTTGTTAAAAATAATTGGGACTAACAAACATGACAATTATTAATTGGTGACTGTACTGTTGACGTAATTTAAATCATTTTAATGTCCATCAAATTCTGTTTTTGCAGCACTTTGTTTTTTTTTTTTTTATTTCTGTTTTTTCCTTCTCCTGCTTAGTTATTGACAGTTATAACCTGTAATTGCTGTTATCTTTAATTGATTTCATAAACTTAAGTTCTTTTTTCCAGTAGCAGCAACAATAACAATAAAAAAAAAACGAAAAGCCACACACACAAAGGAAGAGCTGAAAATGATTCTGTTAGTCTAAGAATTAAGGCAAAAAGATTTTTTTATTCAGATTTTTCAATACCTTGACAACGAACTTGACGGTTATGAAAAGCAGTTGGGTATTAAGTATACAGATCAAAAAATTAAATGGGACTTTTGGAATGCTATGCTTTATGCACAGGTAAAGCAATTTTTTTTTTTTTTTTGCTTAAACTCTTTCTTCTTCTCTGAACGATAGATTATTCATAGACGTTACCACTTATCTGCTCTATAAGAAGAAGTTTAAGCACAGAAAAAAATCTGACCTCAGCAGGACAGAAGGTGAAAATGAAGTAACAAATGGAAAGCGTTGTTTTCAGACGATTTGTACGACGATCGGTTACGGTCATCTGTATCCGTCAACAAAAACTGGTAAAATATTTACAATGCTTTATGCAATCATTGGAATTCCACTTGTGCTTACAATTCTCGATGACTTAGGTGAGTTTTACTATTTACAAAAAAAAGAAAAGCTCATAACAGCAATAAATGAGTTGTAAAGATAAAAAATAGTGTTTTATTTATCTTTTTTTCTGCAAATATTTTGTGTTGGTTTCCACTGAAAATCGCTCATTTTATTAGAAGCATAGCTAATGGCAAAATAGTTTTTGTTACGCTTTTAACAAAAAAAAGAATTTAAAAATTTACCAGATAAAAGTGGTTAAAAATTTTT